TTCTGATTTGTATGTACTTCATTTTTGGATTAGGGATTTGGCGAGGACAGTGGTGATTATTGGTATACAGTGAAAGGAAATGAGATAGTGAGCAAAAGACTTTCTATTGGAAATTGGGCTTTTGGTCAGGCTGGAGCTTTTGGAGCGAAATGAAAGAAAATTCTATTGATTTTCATGTTCTATAATTCACCCCAAAGCAGAATATACAAATTCTATAGCTACTTTACCCAATCCCAATTTAAACTGGCAGGACGGGTCCCCAGAAGGCAGCTCTTGTTTCTTCCCCCAAACCTCTAGGGGCCCTGAAGGATTGAGGTGGGGGGAAATATGTTTTAATGCTATCACTTATAAGTGGGATTGAGACCACTTACCCGAATAAAAATTCAGAGGTTTCTCTCAATAGAAACAGAAGTTTTATTCTAGCAAGACTTGCTTGAGAATTGGGCATCACCTACCCAGGGCAGACTGGAGTAGGGAGGCAGGATCCAAGCAGCAAACAAGCAGTTTATACCCTTAGACAAACAACTCTAAGAAACCACCCCTGCCACCGACTTGTTTACCTGAATCTCTTTATCCCTGTTGGCTGAGGTAAGAGACAAACAACTTTACCCAGGAACTAAGAGATACATTTTACCCAAAACAAGCTTGGAAGCTAGCAGATTGCCTTATTTGGCAAAGATAAGGCTGGGGTAGTGGTTACAAAACAAGGGAGGGGGTGGGCAGCTGGTGTAGGACTTTATTTCCCCCAAAACATAAGATTTACAGGAAAGTAAAACTTAGGCCCAGCTCATGCTAAAGCTTTACTACATTTTTGGAGCATAGCTACCATTTTATATGAGAAACTTTCACTTGTCCCACACAGTCCCCCCTCTCATTTCATAGTTGAAAGTTTCTCACGCCAAAACTGGTAAGTTTCTGCAGCCTCCCTGTTTGCTATTGCATCAGGGTTTAACCTTCCATCTTCTTCCTGACTGACTGGCATCCACCCTTGATTCCCCAATATCATTAACCTTGTGGACTCACTAGCAGGCTCTCTTAATATAATCATCCTACAGAGTGTCCTTTGTACAGTAGTCATGCAAGGGACACACACTGGGAGTAGTATGACTCCACTCACTGCCATCAATAAGGACCATAAAACCTGCTTCCACCAAGTTCCCCCAAACCAGGACAACCCCTTTAAGTAAATATGGGAAGGATTAATCTAAGCATTGACAAATCAGAGGGGCAGCCCCTTCATAAATGTAGATACAGAGACCCAAAAGAAAGCAATTGTCCCTTTAAGATTCAAAAGTCCCTTCTTATATAGCTGCTGACAGGGAATACCATCAATGAAGTACTTCTGTCCTTGGTATTTGCTCCAGCCATCTCCAGCACAGCATCTCAGCATCTTCCTCTTATTCTTCTTGTAGGAATCACTTTCTGTCCATTCTCCTACAGAAGTGATCTTAGCACTATTTTAAATTACTATTTCTAGTCCTTATAACCCTGATCATTTTTATGAGCTCGAAATTGGAATCATGGCCAATTGTCATGTCTAAGAAATTCACATCAGAACCCAGTGTCTTATACTTTACATTAATCCATTATTAATTTCCTCACTGGGGGATGTGATTTCACTAAGGGATTAATCACAGGCTTCAGTACATACATATCAATTTTTAATACAGTACCTATAAAATATTAAAATTTTAGTCATGCCTTGTTTCTTTGATGGCATTTACAACATAAACCACAAGCCATTCTTCTTTTAACATTATTAATCAATGGTAACAAAACTTTAGATGAGTATGATATTATCCAAATAACAAAATAACATTCTCACAAGCTCCTGATTATCTCCATACCATTACCAAGAATTAAAAGACCCTAACTCATACTGGTACACAGTCCCAGTTCTATAATGACCTAAGATGTTCCATAATCAATTATTTTAGTAAATTTGTTACTGTACTATAAAACCTTCTGATTATAGAAACTTGTCACTAAGAGATTAGAATAAGGGAACACAATATTTCCCTCAACTTCCTGTTAACTCCAGACAGAGTGTTATGTCAAACTGCAAAATGCATTGAGCCAGACTTAAAGTCCACCAGGCTTCAGTTAAGGACACCTGGAGTCAGACTCAGAAAGTCAGTCATTAGTCCAGTAAGTTCCAACAATCAGTTTAAGATATGACTATAATCTAATCCTTTTCTAATGTCTCATGCTGACTACTTGCTCTGATCACAGAAACTTACTATAGAAGGAAAAAGAGCAGGGACAGGTGACGTATCAAATATGACAAGATAAAACATCCTTAGCTTTGTTTAAATTCAGATGGAGTCGCAGTTCCGCAATCATACAGTATCTATTTCTCCTCATAGCCAGACTCAGGAGTAGTCAGGTGGGAAACATTCCTTTCCAAAGGAACACAATGGGGAAACTGAGCCAGGAGGATCCCATCCTAGATTGAGGCTAAGCTTGTCCCCTCGGTCTTTTTCCCAAATAAATCACGTTTCCTCTGAGTAGACCTCCACCTGTTCTTGTGGCATTTCTCTCAGATCCTGAGTTAATGCAGACAACTATTCCCAAATCCAAACTCAAAACAAAATTAGGTTTAGTCCAAAGAGCCTTTTACCTCAAACAGCAAGTCTCACTAATCACAGCTTAAAGCCAGATGCAGTTAATTTCACTCTCACGGAGTTGCAATCAGCAATATAGATTTACCAGGACTCATACATAAGAGATCTCACTTTACATCTTTCCTTCTCAAATTTAAACTTGCCCTGGTGTAAAAGCCAATCATTAGAAATCACTTCTGTCTACTGTACGTAAACTTGCAACTTCTCAGCAAGCTAAATTCATTATCTAGGAACTGCATGATCCTAACAAGTTCTTTTCTCAGGGCAGATGACCTTGCCCACACAGATGTAGTAATTAATTATCCCTCTTAGGTTTCAGCACTGAAACAGTAATCCCAAACAACTTAGTTAAAAATCTCACAAATTTCATAAATGATAACAAAACGATTTTAACTGAAAATTCCCTTTAAATACAGACAAAATTTGGAAATTCTATGCTTTCTTAAATTACAATACTTAGAAGGAAATGTTACAAAACAGGATCATATAGAGGGCCCCAACAGCCAGATTCATTCCTTTTCCTCTCTGCTCTAAAGGCACAATTAATTTAACAGTCTAGATTGTAAAAGACATTGCCCTTCCAACAACATAACTAATACAATTGAAAACAGACTCAATAAAAAATTCTTTCTTTCTTTCTAGACCCCTTCACCAGATTCAACAGTCTCCTGGGGCCACATAGTGAATAAATTTCTTAATGCCAAATAACAATATGTGCTCTTAAAATTATACAAATACACATTTCTAAGTTCAATACCCTTGGCCCTTTATAAAGGGATATTATCCACAAGTTCATATATTTCTTCAATATTTCAGTTCCCCATTCATGTCCACATTTTCTTGCGAAAGTTTTACAAACAGTTTGGAATCAACTATTGTAATCAAGTCAGTTTAAAATGTACTGGGCCAGTATTCTAACTACTCCTTTTTGCTTTCCCTCCAGGTAGGCACCTCTGGAGCTTAATAATTAATTGAACAGTAATAATCATAACTCACAATAACCAATATGGCATCCTCCCAGGGTGGGGAACTTAAGACCCCCCCCCAAATTTTGCTCATCAAGACTACTACACAGCTTTCTTTTTGCATTTCTGAAGGGAGATAATTGAATAGGGCTCTCCCTCCCTCTCTCTCTTCCCAAACTGCCTGTACAACTTTACTATGCACTCTAAACAACTCCTCGTCTTACACTATTTTCCCACTATTCTTTAGTTTCTTTCAATTTACTTTAGTGCCAAACAGTATAATAAGTTCTGAAATTAAAAACATCACATCTTTACCAATTTGAATGAGTTGGGGCTTGTGGGGAAACATCATGGTCTCGGCAACAGTCAAACCCAGTCATCCCCAACAAGCTGCAGCCTTCAGCACAGCCCCCGGCTGCCCATAAACTACCTTCTGTTTATGTTCTGGTACACAAAAACTTTTCTCTTTTATGAGAGGCAGAAAAGATTAAATGCTACCTCTCTTTCTGATCTGAGGAGAAAAGATTCCCTTTTTCTCTCTTTGTCTCCACACTCAAATTTGGTCAGAATTAGAATGCAGAGAGAGACAGAGAAATTATTTTTTTTTCCAAAAGTTTCAAAACCTTCTTACTTTCAAAACTTCTGTTCACACCTTCCTTAAGCTTTCTACACATACTCCTCTCTCCTACATGCTTAAACTTTCTTGCCTTTCTTTCTGATGGACTTTGATTAAAGTCCCTTTAAAACTGCACATATCTTATTTCTTTCTAATTCTGACCTGACCCTTCAAAAATCCTTTTCAACTTGCTTTTTGCCAGTCACATAACCTAAATAATAAAGTATTTTTCTCTCTTTCTCTCTCCCATCCACCTGTTCCTCTGCGGCTGCTGTTACCAGGGAGGAAGAGGGGGGAGAGAAAGAAAGCAACTGCAGCCTTTTGCTGTTTGGCTGCAAAAGATACACACTGACACTCACTCATACCACGCACAGACACAAGCACAAAAAATATAGACATACAACAACCTTCCACCCTGTAGAATCCTCAAATCACCAAATCATATTTAATCATTTTCTTCCTATCCTTTCCTCTATATTTTGGGAGTTCATTCCAATTCTGCAATCAGTTGCCTAAAGGACTGTCTATAGGTACCTCACAGATTTAGATTGTCCCTTTCCCATTCTTAGGGAACCTAGGCCCTCACCTAAGAAATTTGCAGGAGCTGTCACCAAACTCCCCGAGTCTAAAGACTCAGCTGAATCACCAACCAGGGTCGCCCACTTCTCACCAGTCACCCATGAAGCTTTGTCAGCGGTGTCATTTCCATGAGGTATCAATTCTCTGCCTAAACTAGAATCCACCCTAAAGGGCCCTCACCCTATGCCAATTACCTCCAGACCCCTGAGTGCTTACCTCTGGGTTGCACGTGTACAACTTACATGACTGCTCCCACTCACCGGCCAGGCGGCATTTCTTAGTTTCATTTTAATCGTCAGAGCCCTAACAGACCTTCTGTTCCTCCCTGTCCCTCTCTTTGGGTTTATTTCAAAGACTGGGCAGTAACCTCCCTCCCAGCCTCAAGACCTCTGAGAATTCTCAGATGCATGCTTGGTCTTGACCTTGGCAGGGAAGCCTCCTCCCTAATCAAAGAAAATGCCCAGCGATTCCCCAACTGAGTGGGATTGAGACCACTTGACCCAAATAAAAACTCAGAGGTTTCTCCAGGTAGAAAACAGAAGTTTTATTGTAGCAAATCTCCCTGGGAGTTGGTTATGACCTACCCAGGGCAGACTGGAGTAGGGAGGCAGGATCCAAGCAGCAAACAAGCAGTTTATACCCTTAGACAAACAACTCTAAGAAACCACCCCTGCCACCGACTTGTTTACCTGAATCTCTTTATCCCCATTGGCTGAGGTAAGAGACAAACAACTTTACCCAGGAACTAAGCGATACATTTTACCCAAAACAAGCTTGGAAGCTAGCAGATTGCCTTATTTGGCAAAGATAAGGCTGGGGTAGTGGTTACAAAACAAGGGAGGGGGTGGGCAGCTGGTGTAAGACTTTATTTCCCCCAAAACATAAGATTTACAGGAAAGTGAAACTTAGGCCCAGCTCATGCTAAAGCCTTACTACATTTTTGGAGCATAGCTTCCACTTTATATGAGGAACTTTCACTTGTCCCACACACTTATAAACTCCCAGTGGTATTACTTCTTTCTATGGTTACTGGTTGATATCAATTAATCAGCCAGACAATTAGCTTTTAGAAAAGGGTGTCTACTAAGGTGGTAAAAAAAGGGGGTTTAGTACAAAATATTCCCCTAAAAGTCTTGGGCACATTCTCACCCCAGTACATAAAATATCTAGGGTAAAGTAAGCTCAACTTAGGGAACCCATGTGATGAACCTGGTGATTGGAAGTCTTTTTTTCCTCTCTGTGGGGTAGGTACTCATGAGATTCCTCTTACATATTTTTGTTTGTTTGGATTTTTTTTGGAGGGGGTTGGGCAATTGGGTTAAATGACTTGCCCAGGGTCACGCAGCTAGTAAGTATTATATGTCTGAAGCCGGATTTGAAGTCAGGTTCTCCTGACTCCATGGCCAGTACTCTATCCACTGCACCATCTAGCTGCCCCAAAGTATTTATTTATTTATTTATTTGCTTTTTGGTGAGGTGATCGGGGTTAAGTGACTTGTCCATGGTCACACAGTTAGTAAGTGTCAAGTGTCCAAGGCTGGATTTGAACTGTGGTCCTCCTGACTGCGACGCTGGAGCCCTATCCACTGTGCCACCTAGCTTCCCCTACATATTTTTTTTCTGATAGGTTTCTTGCAGAATTTTGAAGCTGCCTTTCCTTAGTATGTGTCATTTGTCTTTGTCTCCTGATGCAGACACAAACACCAATCTCTGCTCTTCCAGAGACACTGTTAGGAGGCCAACGACAAAGTCCAAATCCTTTAGCCCTCCAGAGTTTTTTTTTCTGGTTAATGGGGATTTAGAGTGGGGAGGAAATGACTAAGGGAAAACCATGCCACTGGGGGTGACTGAAAGACGAAGTTGGGAAAAAGTGGCTCTGCCCACAGGAAAGTGGGGCTCATACAAGACAGAGTAACTGGCTTTCCTGTTAAACCAAATACCTCCCATCTCATACACTGCTTTAGGCTGACAGATTTATGTTATTTGAATCTCCTTTTTTTATATTTGCAAAATTTGTTGCTTGTAAGTAGAATTGCTGAATTTAACCATACGTATCTTGGAGTTTGCAGCAAAAATGTTTTGTTTTTTCCTGAAGGCAATTAATAGATTTTTTTTGGTTGTCATTTTGTTTTCTGATTTTGTTTCATACACTTTGGGCAATTTTCTTGTATTATTTTTGATTATTGTGTACAGCTTTTTTTGGCTTGTATTTTTTGGAAGACCTATAATCCTTAAGTTGTCTCTGTGCATCCTGTCTTCAAGGTATAGAAATCATATTTTCTTGTAATGTTATCGCTTTTTGTTTCTCCTCTTCCAGATTATCCTTCACTTCTGTGTCTTTCACATCCTCGATCAGTTATTTTTTCTTTTGTTTCTGTAGTGAGATTTGCCACCATAGATTCTTATTCTGCTGATTATTTCTGCTTTGCAGGTCATAACTTCTTTAATGATTCTTATTTCTGCCTTGAATCATTCAGGTTCTTCCTGTTATGGTTCCATGGTCCCTCGAGAATCTATGGTGTCCTCTGCCTCATCAAGTGTTGATTCATTTTCTTTTGTCTTGAAATGTTTATTCATAGATATCTAGACTAATTTTGATAATCTGGAGGCCATATTCCCACCTATTATTGATATCTTCCTTGTTGGTTTATGTGCTTGTGCTCAAGATTATTAATTGACTTTCTCCTCTTGAAGTCTGGTTATTTCGATCTTTCCCCCTTGTGTTTCCCTATCTCTCACTTTCTGACTGATTCTCCTTTCATAAGCAGATTTCCCAGGAATTACTCCTCAAAGCTGTTTCAGCCTCCTCATATATTGGAGAATCTGTTTTTCACTGCCCTCAGTCTCTGCCCCAGATGACTTCTGAAGGGAAAGAATGGGCGTCAGCTAGATGCTGGTTCCTTTTGCTTCAGGCCTAGTAGATTCCCTCCATACTAGAGCCCTGCCCCTGTGTCCTCTGCTCTTTAGTTCTGTGGCTGAGCTCTGTTGGCCGTGCAGTGACTGTCACACCGTTGTCCTGACAGTACAACCCTGCCAGAATGTCCCCTTCGAGAATGAAGGACAAACGACAACAACAACAAGGTTGGTAGGGGAGGTGATGCTGCATGCTCATGTTAGGGATTAAGGATTCGCCTTCTCTGTTCTTAAACATTGAGTTGTTACTTTATTATTAGAGTTTTTGGGGATGTAGATCATGGTGAGAGCTAAAACTTATTTATTTCTTGCTCATAATTACTATTTTGGAGAGGTTTGAGAGGTTGTGAGAAATGTTTCATCCTCTATCTTGTTGGACATGTGACCTAGAAATCTTAAACTAATAAGTTTATATCTGTAACCTAAGAGGTCATCAAATTTGTTTTACTGTTGTTCATTTGTTTCAGTCAAGTCTGACTCTTTGTGACCTGATTTGGGGTTTTCTTGGCAAGGATACTGGAGTGGTCTGCCATTTCCTTTTCCAGCTCATTTTACAGATGAGGAAACCAAGGCAAATAAGGTTAAGTGACTTGCCCAGGGTCAAACAGCTAATACATTTCTGAGGCCTGATTTGAATTTGTGTCTTCCTAACTCCAAGACTGGCACTGTCCACTGTGCCTTTTAACTCCCTCATTTTACAGATGAGGAGACTGAGACCAAGAGATGTTAAATGACTTGACCAAGGTCACACAGGCATCAGTTGGCAGAGCCAGAATTTTAACCCAGTATCTTTGACTCCAAATCATATATCCTTCCCACCTTATTGGGCATCTTTGCCTATAACCAGCACATAAAAGTTCAGAAAAGCAACATACTTAGTTGGTGTTGGTAAAGCCTGAGCCATCACAGTGTTGCTGCATATTTGTATTAGAAAGAGAAAAATATAGTGATAACCTCTTCATGGCAGGAAAGTGTGACTTTGGGGATCCATTGTCATAGTTATCTTTTTCTGTTTTTCTGTTTTTATGCTCCCCTCTTCTGTGGGTATCCGTGGACAGATTTTTTCTACTGTATTGTGATTGCCAAGAGATGAAAATGGCTAAGAGTTGGGATGAAGGAGACCTGAGCAGATGCTGGTGCATGCTTCTAAGATGTAAAAGAGAAGGTCTCTCAATAGTATTTGCAATATCCTCCCAGTTTCACTTTAAGAATGTATTGTAGCAAGTATGTCATCTCAAGTATACAGGGGGAGAAAAGAAAGAATCCTGTATTCCTGGGATTGAGACATGGGATTTACCTCACACTATCCTGGGGAAGAGAACTGGAAGAAGACCACAGGAGTTCAGAACCAATGGAGAGTAGTTCAAGATACCTACCAGGAAGATGAACTGAGTCATTAAAATGCAAACATAATTACAGTCCTGTAGTCTAATAAGAACAATAGAGGGCCCAAGCTGGGCATATGGAAGACTGTGTGCATGAATATTAATGACGTTATAATGAGGGAAAGCAGCAACAGAGACAGAACGTCTAGGACTGCTATTTGAGTGACATTTAGGAAGACGTGAGGGTTGACTTGGGACCTGAGTGTGCCAAGGGATAAAGAAGTGGCTTATTGAACATAGCTTCTTGTTATACATAGACTATTACACCCCAAGCAAATTTGTTTCTCATATCTTTTACTTGGTGTTATATGTTATATTAGATCAATATTGTCTTAGATAAATCCAGGTTATGTTTTGCATAACTTCATATATATAATGGCTAGCATATTGCTTACCTTCTCAGTGGGTGGGGGATGGGGGCTAGAGGGAGGGAGAAAATTTGGAATTCAAAATTTAATACTTAAAAAATTTTTTTAAAAGAAAATTTTTTATAAAGATAAACCCAGGTTTCCTCTATGTTACTGTCATCACAAGAACCTACAATGGAAGGGAGGCTAGTAGCCAAAATGTTTGCCAGTGATGAATATGTCTCAAGGTAAACTACAATTGCATCTTTGATTATTTCTTCTTGACCATTCCCCTACATTCCCACATGGGCATGAAAAGTAGGAATACGGGTCATTGTCTTTTGGCTCTTTTTTTTTTTTAGTAAAAATATTCTTGTGATCATTTTGCCTTTATAGTACTCCCCTTTGAAATATCTTGAAAACCAGTCCCAGAATATCTACATGAAAATGTGTTCCCTCCAGTGCAAATTTCTTCTGAATATATTAAATCAAGTCCAGAAGCTCTTCTGAGATGTATCCTAATGACACTGCTACATCATACTGCAAACCAAGGTGGCCAAATGTCCTAAGTAGCCTGATTAAGACAACTAAAGCCTGTGTTTATTTTTCCAAGGAACATCCCAGAAGCTGTCCTTTCATTTAGCTGTGGCTTTGTTATATCTTTGCTTTTGCAATGGCTAAGACGATTTTAGGAGAATCAAGGGTTTATAGAATTCATGTACTTCAGGGTTAGTCTCAGGTGCTGCCTAGTTCTGTGAAGTCTTAACTGAACCCTGTCAACCTTCACCCCAAAATGATGTGGACTCCACTTTCCTTTGGACTGTTTTATGTTCTGAGTACACTGTTTTTAGAATGTTGT